GCACTGAGTTTCCTGTAGCTATGCTCAAAGTATGGAGGTTTCCCAGAGCCAAGAGACTCCATGATGCCGCCAGATTTACTCTCCCAAAGCACAACACAGATTACATCTCTGGTCTCCCTCCATCCTTTTTTCTCTTAAGAATTATTTATTTATTTAATACTCATCATCATCATTATTATGATTCATTATTATTTAATTTGACCAGAATGAGACAGAGGGAGAGGAAGAGAAAGTGAGAAAGCAAGCTGCCAGGTTCGGGACTTGAACCGTGGTTGGCCGAGTCTTGGTTTCCCTTTTTTTAAGTTTTTTTTTTTTTTTCCCTTGAGTGGCCCCCATTGCCTGCTGAATGGAGCGTGGAAGACCTGGCTACCTGCAGATGATCCTCTGCATCTGGTGTCAGTGGTCCACCCCATCCTCTCTCCTGCTCGTCTCCCGGATTCCGAGTGGAGTTCAGCTGCCACGCCTATCCTACTTTCCTCCACTTCCGCACATTTGTTCATGCTGTTCCTCAGCCGGGAGTGCTGCTTCTCCGTCTCCCAATGTCTAACACTTAACCGCGAGCCTTTCCCCACCCACTCTTGGCTGGCAGTGATCCATTCCAATTCTGAACTCCCACGGTGTTGTCAGCCCCTTCTTAGGGATTCCATCATGTTCCACCTCTCGTTTCAGTGCTTTGGGTAGCATCTGACAGCCACGCTGGCCTTTCAGGGCCTTGGAAGGGGCTAGCTTGCATCACCACAGGACCTTAACACCCCAGGGCCCTTGCACGCACTCTTCTTTCAGCCAGAAACATTCTTCCAAGGGCTTGACATTACTAACTCCTAGTAGAATACGAGCAGCATGATAACAGGAATCCCCTGTTTGTTCTGCCCATCACTATAGCCACAGTGCCTGAGACACAGTAGGTGCTTGATACTTGTCTATTGGATAAAAGAGTAAATATTCTGATTCAGTGTTTTTTGTTTTTCTTTTGCTATAGCGTACATGCATTCACTAGAGAGAGAGAGAGAGAGAGAGAGAGAGAGAGAGAGAGAGAGAAATTGCCCTTGAACGGGGATGGCTATGACTCAGTCCCTTCTCCTTCAGTCTCCTCTTTGGATTTTGGTCATGCATGCACATGTGCCAGTGTGATTCTCAAGCCACCAGGTCTGGAACTTAAATTGTGTAGCTGCCCATGTGGGATCCAGCACCTTAACTTCAGAGATGCCACCTGCTGGACCCGAGATATTTCCTTTTTGACAAGTTTCATTTCTTTCATGAGTGAGTGTGAGAGAAGAGGAGAGACAGCAGAATCTTGAGGCCACAATCCATCCTGGGCTCATGGGCTCACATACTCAGGGAGGTCTCTGAACACAAACCCAGAACCTTCCATGTGGGTCAGCAGAGTGCTGCGTTTTTTCTCTGTGCCACTGACCAGCCCTTGATTCAGATATTTCTTATATCTCTGACCTAGGCTTATAACTAACTGTAGGTTTTGCCATTTCCAATTACTCCCTGTGGTTTTTGCATCAGCTGAAGTTTTTCTCTGATTATTGCTGTTTTCCTCACATCTGAATTCATTGGACATCTATACTGAAAATCGCAATTGGAATTCCCAAATGGAAATCTAAGATATAAACATACTGGTAAAAGATAAAGGAATTTTTGTCTATAATTGCCCATCTACTTTATTGATTTGGGAATTGAAATACTTCTTTTAGGATTTTTAAAATCAGAATTTGGACTAGCCAGCATGTGGTGATGAGTGTGGCTGGATCCCATATGGCTGACTGAGTGGTTTGAATTCTGGATCTAGTGGTTTAAGAAACATGCCAGTGTGTGTATGTGGGTGCCTAAAATCCCAAGAAGAGAATGGAGGAGATGGGATTGAGGTGTAGCCATCCCCCTGGGGTGCTTTTTCACTTTCCCTCTCTCCCTCTGTCTCTGTCTCTCCAGTGAGTGCACCTACCCTGTAGCAAATTGAAAAACAAAACAAAACAGAATTCATATTTGTGGAATCTTAGATGTACACATTTTTTAATGTGATGATGCAGATTTTGTGGTTTTTAATTGTTTAATGCAGGGACCAGCGGATAGCATAATATTTATGTCGCTGGACTCCCACATAGTCACCTGTGGTTTGACTCCAGGAGCCAGTGGCTTGAAACTCTTGCTGGATGCATGTGCATGTGTGCCCAAAATCCTGAGAGGAGAATGGAGAAGAAGGAATGGTGGCATGGCCATCCTCTCCGTGGTGGTGGTGGGGGTGATTTCTTGCTTTCTGTCTCTCTGGTGAGGGCACGCTCTCTATAGCAAAAAAAATTCTCAAAAAATTGTTTAATGCACTTACTAGAAATGCTGATTAAATCAGCTTTAATATTTTTGATCAATCAGATAGTATGTTTATCTGAAAGCATAACATACTATGAAACTTAAAGCCCTGGGAGATGCAATTAAAGTGTACCTAGTATGGGACCAGCAGTTGGTGTAATGGTTGTGTCACTGGACTCCCATGTAGTCAACCGCAGTTTGAGTCCCAGACCCAGTGGCTTAAACTCACGCCGGGCACATATGTGTGCATGCCCAAGATCCCAGGAGGAGAATGGAGAAGAAGGGATTGCAGCGGCATGGCCATCCCCCCTGGGAAATGATTTCTCGCTTTCTGTCTCTGTCTTTCTGGTGAGTGCATGTGCCTTATAGCAAAAACTTCTTCAAAAAAAAAAAAAAAGTGTACCTAGTAGACTTAGAGATTAATCAAGCTTTCTAGGCAATTGAGATTTTAGCATATCTGTTAAAGTGTTAACTCTTTTTTTAAAAACAAGTTTTCTTATTTCCTGAAAGAGAAAGAAAGATAAGCATCCTCCGTAGGTTCTCGTTCCGCAGTCCTTCCCAACCAGCCAGGGTCGTGGGCATGCACATATGCACTTGACATGTACAGGTCTACCTGGGAACAAACCTCCGTCTTCCACATGGCTTCCAGCATTGCAGAGCCGTGTGCTGCCACTGCACCGCTGCAGCTGGGCCAACAGTGATAGCTTTTAACCAGAGACATTTCTCTTTAATGTATTACTCCCTTTAACCCTCTCAGATTTCCTCCCATTTTAGTGGTAAAATCACTGGAAAGGTTAGCTGTGTCATAGCATCCAAGGCGTTCTCTTTGCTGGGAAATAGCATCATATCAGCCTGTCTGTGCCAATCAGAGTGAATCATTGGTGGAGAGAAGATGCCCTTAACCTTTCCATCTTCTGAATTATTCTAGTTCTGTTGCAGTAGATGCATCCTCTAAGTGTATTCCTACAGTACATGTGAAAAAACAGTCAGAGCTCCGCATTTTGTAGATATGTAATACATTTGACCAGGGCTGGCCCTGTAGCCTGGTGGTTTAAAAAGCTGGATCTCACATAGCTGACTGCAGTTTGAATCTTGGCCTCGGCAGTTTGGAAAACATACTAGATGCATGTGTATGCATGCCCCAAAGGGAGCATGGAGAAATGGAGGAAAGGGATGGAGAAATGGAGGGAAAAAAATTGTGACGTGACCAAGCCCTATTGGGAGGTGTTCTCTTCCTCTCTCCCTTTCTCTCTGGCTCTCTCTCTCTCTCTCTGTCAAGCATACACATGCTCTGGCAATTATAAACAACTAAACACATAATACATATGGATACATACTAAACACATAAACACATACATATGGATATATATACACACTACATATGTGACTAATGTAAGATCGCAGATACCCATTTCTCCCTAGCAATCTTCATTATTTTCACCTAACCTCTTTCAGCTTCTCCATTATCCGTATTTGTTTCTGGCATGAATAGAGCACAAAGAGGATTTTTTAAAGATCCTTCTGGTGAACAAATGGAATGAGGAAATGTACATCCAAAGGGATTGATGCAGACTTGGGAATCAAGGCTATTCTTGGACTTGCCATGTTTTTGAGTAGCAGGTCCTTTAACTCTGCTCCCCCTGGGCTGCCCCACCTGCAAACTGTCAGGGTCAGACTATCATGGTGTAAACCAGTGAGAGTGAGATCGTGGAAGGCTTTGGGATCCCAAAGGATAGGAATGGAGCTTGATACCAACGAGTGCACATGCTCGATGATAATTGACAGTCCCCAGGAGCCATTGAAATGTTTTCAGAGCACTTCTCATCGACATAAGAAAATACAAACTGATGTTAACTAACAACTATTTCACGTATTCCCTAGAGGTGATGAATAATTCCAATTTTGAATAACATCTGCATGTATACACAGAAATCTACTTAGAAAGAAAACTCACTAAAATGTTAATAGCATTTCCTCTAAGTGGGAGGATTACAAGTGTTTGTTTTGTTTTCCAGAGAGAGAGACATTTTTGCTATAGGACATGTGTGGTCATCAGAGAGATATAAAACAAAAAATCACCCCTCAGGGGTATGGCCACACTACAATCCCTTCTCCATTCTCCTCTCAGGATTTTGGGCATGCATGGTCCCTTACTTAAACTGTACCAATTACGTGGGAGTCCAGCAACTTAACCACTATGTCATCTGCTGATCCCCAGGTGGGGGTATTAACAGGTTGATTTGCTTATATATTTTTTCTGTTTTCAAGATTTTCAGCATATTGGGAACCAGCAGTTAGCATAACGGCTATGTCGCTGGACTCCCACGTAGTCGACTGTGGTTCGCGTCCTGGACCCGGTGGCTTAAAAAACTCACGCCGGGTGTGTGTGCGTGCGTGCCCAAGATCCCGAGAGGAGAATGGAGGAGAAGGGATTGCGGCGTGACCATCCCCCTGGGGGGTGATTTCTCGCTTTCTGTCTCTATGTCTCTCTCTGTCTGTCTGGCGAGCGCACGTGCCCTATAGTGAAAAAGCTCTCAAAAAAAAAAAAAATTAAGATTTTCAGCATATTTGCACTTGCAGTGTTTTACAAAGTGATTTTACCAAGTGCCACAGGCTGGTTCATGGCAGGACCCTGTGCTCAGGGTGCTATTCCTCCCGCACTGTGTTCTAATGGTGTGTCTTTGCCTCAGTCCAGGACCTGTGTGCCACAGAGGACCATGCCTGCGAGCAGCTCTGTGTGAACGTGCCGGGCTCCTTCGTCTGCCAGTGCTACAGCGGCTACCTCCTGGCAGAGGATGGGAAGAGCTGTGTGGGTGAGTATCCTTCCAGCTCTGCTGTGCAGGACAAGTTAGGCATGGTGCGGAGGAAGGGAGGCTCGATTTGCACCTCCCACAGAGCCATTTCTCTCCTCTGGGTTTCAAACTCTTGCTCAGTTCTTTGGTTTAGTCGTTGGGCAGCATTTGCACTTTAAAAGCTTCATTTATGGCTGAGATCAGCATTTTCTCATTCTGGGCCCTTAGCGGAAGGCATATTTATGAAAATCTATGTAAATAGGAGTGTCAGTTACTGCATGGCTTGAAAGGGACTGGGCAGATTTTCTTCCAGTGTGGAGGGTATGACTGAAATAGCCTGACTTAAAGAGAGCTCATGCGTTATGCATGAAACTCCCTTGGCCATGGGCGGGGTTGTTGAGTGGCATATCATGGACTACGCAGCCTTCCTCCCAGTACTGGGCCTGCAGCTGAGTGAGAAGCCCAAGTGGCACCCAGGGTAAGCGCCCAGCCTTGTGTAATGAGATAGCACTGCCCTGGAAAAAGTGGCAGCCGTGAACATGAGGCCCAGTTGAGGAGTCTCAAGGGCAGGTTAGGAGCTGCAGGCACTGACTCTCAGTCAACTGAGCACTCTTCCGGCTGCATGACTCCATTCTGAGGGATCAGGTAAGAGGTAGGAGAGGCAGGATTGGCATCTGATTTCTTCAGTGGTAGAGACAGTTTTCTCAGCACCTGCACAGCAGGCCAAAAAATCCCTCTTATGGGTGTGGCCCCTCCCAGTTTCTCTACAAAGCCCTTTAACTGTGCACGGTCTCGTTCATCCTTATACCTTCAAACCATGCCTGGCAGACAGTGGGTGTCCAATAAACTCAACTAGATGGTGTATGAGGCAGAAAATCTGGAAGGAAAAGGATTTGAGTGACATCAGGACTGGAATTTGGATTTTTTTTTTAAGTTTATTTTATTTCTTCTATGAGCAAGAAGGTCAAGAGAGAAGGACAGAACCCTCAATATGGTTTTGATGCCATGAAAAACCCCTAGCTTCAGCCAACCCCAGGTCATGGGCATATGTGTGCCCAGCGTATTCAAGGAGGTCTCAGGATGCGAACCTGGAGCTGCACCACAGTCTGCCCTCTAGGACTTTGATTTCTGACTAAATCCTGCGATCTCTGTGCCTTTGTTTCCAGAGGCCCTGTTAATATCTTGCTTCTCACAGTCTATGCTTTCATTGCTATCATTATTATTATTATTATTATTTAGAGGTTTTTGCTATAGGGCTCATGTGCCCGCCAGACAGACAGAGAGAGACAGAGAGACAGAAAGCGAGAAATCACCCCCCAGGGGGGATGGCCATGCCGCAGTCCCTTCTCCATTCTCCTCTTGGGATCTTGGGCACGCATGCACACGCGCCTGGCGTGAGTTTTAAACCACCGGGTTTGGGACGCGAACCATGGTCGACTACATGGGAATCCAGCGACATAGCCATTACGCTAACTGCTGGCCCCTCATTATTATTATTTTAACACATAGACGTTATGTTTTCTAGCATACCTTGGTTCTTAGCTAGGGGTGTACAAAGAAAAAAACAGCAAAACCAAAAGTGCAGGTGGTAGCTTGCTATTTGAGTGATGAGACTACCATGGGTTGGTTTGTTTTTATACACTTGATGGTGTTGAAAACCACCCTCATCAGAAGGCTGTAAATGTAATTAGTCTCCTGAGCCTTAGGGTTGGATTTTTAATTTTTTTTTTAGATATATTTATTTATTACATTTAGTCACTGTACATCTTTACAGCTTACTAAATGAATTTTCTCAGCGTGAATGCTGTGTATTATTAATCCAGTCAAAGATACTACTAAACACATTATTATCAATACATGATTTTCCATTTTTGTGTCCGTTAAATATTTTGCCTTTTTTTTTCCCCCTTGATTCCTTTCTGCCTGCCCCCAGCATTGGCTTTTTTTCCCTTAATCTGCTGATGGTGACCATGATGGAGTATCAGGGTATCACGTCCACTAACACTAGCAGAAAAGAAGCCAACGTGAGAACACCACTTCTTATTATTTTGCTTCATTAATTTTTATGTCCAAGCAATATCCTTTCATGGAGGAACTTAACCAGAGGAGAAAATCACTATCAATAATTTCTTGTATTTTGAACCAGACTTTTCCCCACATATGAGTTCATTTTTACTTTGAAACATTTTGTTTATGTTTAACAAAGTGAAGTCTTACTAGCTATTGTTTTATTACCCACTCTTTTCCACTTACCATTTGTTAAATGGGTAGAAACTTTGGGTGCTGTTGGATCAGAGGAAAACCAGCCATTGTGAGCAAAGCCAGTAAAGGAGCCTCAGGAAACGGCGTGAAGGCATCTTGTTGACTCAGTGAGCAAAGGAGTAGGGAGAGCCGGGCCGATGCGGGTCAAAGGGCGTCGATGGGGCAGGGAGCCCATACTGGCCCTTGGGAAATAGGAGGACAGGACAGCCCAGTTCTGGGTGTTGCCAAACAATTGCCCGATCATCTCAGTGGAGTAGAGACCTTTGTGTCTCTGGAGATTTCGCTGGAAGTTCTGAGAGCTGATACTCATTGAAGAGTGACAGACGAGACGAGATGCTGTGGTTGCCAGGGAGCTGTGTGCTGTGTTTATTAGAGATGGACATTTTTTTTTGCTGTCGTTTATGTGCATATAAGAATGTTTGCCTTCCCTCAGATGGTGTCCAAGCAGAAGAGTGGGAAAATGGGACAGAACATGCCTCCCAGTGCCACCCAGGTCTCACCCAGCAAATGATCTACCGTCCTCCTCCTTACCACCACCATCATCACCATCACTCTACATTTCTTTTTAAGAGATTTTTGATGTAGGGCATGTGTGCTCGCCAGAGAAGCAGAGAGAGACAGGAAGACAGAAAGTGAGAAATCACCCCCCAGGGGGATGGCCACGCTGCAATCCCTTCTCCTCTATTCTCCTCTTGGGATATTGGGGCACACACACACACACACACACACACACACACCCAGGGTGAGTTTTAAACTGACAAATCCGAGACTCCAACCCCTGTCAACTGCCTGGGAGTCCAGTGACATAGCCATTACGCCCTCTGCTGGTCCCGTCATCACCATTGCCGTTCATAGCAATTAGCCAGGTCCCTGCTCTGTTAAAGGCTGGGGTGGGATGATGAAGCAGTGGACAGCCTGTGTTGCCTGCAGCCTTGGTTGGGGGATCTGGACAATTTTTCAGAAGATTGGTGCTGCTTCATTCAGTGTCCTGAGTGTAAGCAGAGACAGAGACAGAGACTGCAGACACCACAGAAGGTCAGAAAACAGAGACACCCTGATGGCTAGGCTGGGAGATCTGGGCATGGCAGGAAGGGTAGCAACTGGGAATATGTCTAAGGCAAGGCAAGCTATTAAGGGCAGTGATGGTTGGAGGCGAGAGTGCTCTCCAAGCATGAGAGCTGAGGCTGGCCTGAGAGGTGCAGGCCTTGCTCCTGGGAGCTGATTGTCTTAAAGAGAACATCAGAGTGAAAGCCAAACATGCAGCCCAATTTGAAGGCATCAGTCTGAAGGGGCTTGTCAAAAATTGGAACTACAGGGACCAGCAGTTAGCATAATGGCTATGTCGCTGGATTCCCATGTAGTTGACGGTGGTTCAAGTCCTGGACCCAGTGGCTTAAACTCACACCAGGCACATATGCGTGCCCAAGATCCCAAGTGGAGAATGGAGGAGAAGGGATTGCAGCATGGCCATCACCCCTGGAGGGTGATTTCTTGCTTTGCTCTCTGTCTCTCTCTGTCTTTCTGGCGAGCACACGCACCCTATAGCAAAAACCAAAAACGCCCCCCAAAACGAAAACCCCCAAAAAAAAAAAAAAAAAAAAAGATGGGAACTCCAGGATCCAGAGTTAGAACAGGAAATTAGGGAGAGCAGAGGCTGGTAAGGATCCGGGGAAAATTCAATTAGCAGCTGATCTGGTGGCCTCTGTACAGACGGGCAGGGAACATTAACACCTGGGGGAGGAGGTTAGCAGGTGGCATGGTGGTAAAGCAGCTGGACTCCTCCTGCAGTTTGACCCAGACCTAGCAGCTTGCTTTCTCACTCCCTCCCACCCCTGTCTCCTCCAATGAGGGCATGTGACCTATAGCTAATTTTTTTTAAAGATAATATTAATCACAAATAAAATTAAATAATTCTGAGGGACCAGCAGATGGCAGAATGGCTGTGTCACTGGACTCCAATGTAGTTGACCGTAATTCGAGTCCCGGACCCGGTGGCTTAAACTCATGCTGGGCACATGTGCATGTGTGCCCAAGATCCTGGGAGGAGAAGGGAGGAGAAGGGATTGAGGCATGGCCATGCCCCCTGTGTGGGGTGACTTCTCGTTTTCTATCTCTCTGTCTCTCCAGCGAGCACATGCACCCTATAACAAAAATCTCTCAAAAAAAAAAAATTAAATAAAATAAAAAAGAAAGAATTCTTTAAAAAATAAAAAAGAAAGAAAAAGAATTGAGTGGGACCTGGGCCAGCCCCAAACCTAGCTAACCATTGTTTGAATCCCAGCTCTGGTGGTTTGAAAAATATGCCAGGCTCCTGTGTATGGGTTCCCTAAATCCCAACAAGATGTAGAAATAAAGGAGACAGGATTGTGATGTGACCACACCCCACCGGGGGTGCTTTCTCCCCCTCCTCCTCTGTCTCTCTGGCAAGTACAAGTGCACACTGGCAGTTAAAACAATAATAATAACAATAACAATAATAATGGAGTGGGGCTGCATATCACAGTTAATCCCAGTTAATCTCAGTTTATACCCATTGCCCAACCCTTAACAGCACTCCTTTTCAGTTTCAAAGGGGTTCCAGTTTGGATGATAAATTACATCATCATCCTAGTTAAAGCTGTCTGGTTTGACTTAAACAGCTAAGGAGACCAACTCTGTTGCAGCAGAGAATCCCTGTACATACGAAGTAGGAGGTGATGATGAAGGTTTCAGGAGGAACCAGATTATACAGGGCTTTGAAAGTCAGGCTGGGGCCAGCA